CGCGGGCGCACGCCTTAGGGAGCGCCAAAACGTGTTTCGGAAATATAATATTTATATTTTTTATTATTTATATAAAATCTAGAAAACTTAATCTAACTAGAGATACGGAGAAACAAAAAGCATATTTATTTTGCAATGTGATATTAGTAGAAACAATTAACCGATTAATAACTCTGCAAATTAGGAAATAACAGCTCTGTTTATTGATTAATCTACTTATTCTATTTTTGCTCTAATTGAAGTTAACGTGGAATCAAAAAAGAAATTATCTAGTGTTTAATATCATAAGATTAAATTAATTATTGGGCATTATTGACGAAAAATTGCGAGCTGATTTAGTTGAAACGGAACTTGTTAAAAAATATAAACAAATTATAATTGGGAAAATGAAAAATAAGTGCTTAGAAAATGCCATGTTCATTCCGAGAAATTGAATTGCAACTTTTGCTTTTGTTGCAAATGTTTCGCTTCTGATGAACTGAATTGAATGTTGAAGACATGCGTGGTTAGGGTTATGGAAATGGAACAAATATGAAAAATGGAAGCAAAATTTACTTTGGAACGAAAATCTTGAGGCTTTTTTTTATACTGAGTAGTGTACATACTCCAAATTTAATAATTTAACTATGCAGAAATATAGTTCAAGAAATGTGAAATTTCTTTACATTTTTACTGATTTTTGGAAATTACTTTCAAAATACGTTAAAAATTTAACTTTAAAACAACAGACTGATACTCTGGGAAAGCAAGGATGAATACAATTCGGCTCTTACGATATCAATAAGGAGAAGTTTGCGATGCAATTTTGGATATTGTAAATAATGAAAAATTAAATTAAATTAAAATTTAAAAAATCCAACATGAAATACGAGTGTATGAGTTCTAGTTTTTTTAGCTCTCTTAGCATGATTTGCTCAATAGAATAAATCGCATAATAAATAAGTAAAATGTTTTAAAACCCAAATATAAATATTATACATACGTTAAAAATAATTGAAAATTTAAAAATATTTGATTATAATCAACCCGCGAATAGCCTCGATTTTCTAAATAAATTTAAAATCAATATATTTTATACGCTTTTAGATTATATATAATTTTTTGCGTACTAAATCCAGAATAATTAAAAATTAGTTTTTAAAAAATATGTAAATATTTATATAATTTAAATGATAAACTGTTAAAACAGGTAAAATTAATGGGGGGTGAGGCGCAAGAAAAAAAGTTGCATGCGGGCGCTAAGGACCCCAGGACCGCCCTTATATATAATATATATATATATATATATATATATATATATATATATACATACATACATATATTATATATGATATATATATATATATATATATATATATACAGGTAATCCCCGCATAACACGGTAGTAACGTTCGAAAAAAGTAGCGTGTTATGTGAATCCGTGTTATACGGAACAAAGAACTAATGCAAAAAGAGAGGTTACGTTCCAAGAATTCAAAAATACATGCTACATATCATGATTTTTTAATAAATATTGTTATATTTATTAATTTTTTAAAGAAGTAATATACATTACATCAATTATATGTTTTTTTCGTCATAATTAAATGGTAAGTGCTATCCAACACGATTCTTTTTTTGCAAGATATCTTCATCCTCTGAGCAGTTTTCTGTAGTACTTCCAGATCCGTGCATTTTTTGCAATTATTTGCGATGGGTTGCTTTTAGCAAAAATATATTTATATATTTACCACTTGCAAAGTTATCTTTATTAAAATTTTATGCTCATTTTATTTGAAGGATCTTTGTTTAGGACTAATTGTTCGGATAAGCCTAGAGCTTTTTTATCTATAGAACGTATGCACTCTAATAATAAGTATCAAATTATTATACCTTTGCATTAGTTTCATCTCATTTATTGAGCTATTGTGCAGTGATTTTACTAATTTTGGATTCAATTCTTAAACCGCGTTAGAGCGAATCCGTGTTATAGAAGTACCGTGTTATGCGGGGGTTACATATATATATATATATATACATATATATATGTATATATATACGATGAGATATTTTTGGGCATCACCAATAATAAAAAATTTAATGAATATCTTGTAATTTTTCAGCCCTGACAATTAAGTCTCAAAACGTAGACTATTCATATAAACTTATAAAGGCATTCTTCTTCCTTAAATTCTTTATTATTTGATGAATTCCCAAACACTTTTCATTATGTATCTTTCATCTCACATTATATACATAGCAGCCAATTCGTCGATTGGCTATTTAAAAAGGATAAATACTGATAATTATTTATTAAACGTTTCGACATCTGTTATCGTCATACCCGGAAGAGCGAAACACAAAGTTAAACTATTTCTCTTATTTAACACCAATTCTAGCTTCAATTATAAAATAAAAAATAAAAGAATAATTTTAGCATCCAAAAGCTTTGGATTTGGAAGAAGAAGTCACAGTTTGTTTTGGGTAATGATGGATCCACATCATTATTTGTCATAAAATTTTGATGTCATAATTTTTAAAACAATATAGTTTGTACATACTCTTTCAGACAAAATGCTCAGAAATAAATAAAATTGTGCGATTTATGAATTTACAAAGAAGCAAAGCGATCGTTGCGACGATTCGCTCAAAACTGTTTTACTACACCGATTAAATTTAAAGCTATCGACATTTTTTCATATGACAATAATGTAAACATTTTTGATTTTGTTTGATAACTATTACCCGTGTTTTGTAAATTATATGCTAATAGAACAAAAAAGCCAAAACTACTTATGATGTTGTTAATAATACAAATGTTTTGAAATTTTGAATATTTCTTTTCAAAACATGATGGTAATTTATCACACGTTTGAATGTAAGCTTTATAATAAGATTAGTTTCGTGTTAAGATAAATTTTAGTGAAACATGTGAAATAATTATATTATGTAGAAAACTTTGAACTTTACAAGTTCTTTAGGTTGCCGTGTTGAATCTAAACAATTTTGTTTTACAACAACATCGCAAACGGTTTCCTTATTTGATTATTTTATTATTATAATATTTGTCTTCAATTCATTTGCAATTGTAGTTGTATTTGTAATTGTAATAATCATTTAAAAAATTAGTAATAATATCTGTAATACCGATGATTTTTTAATGTTACAGCAATGCCGACGGAGGGCTATTTTCACGTGGAAACATATTGCCATCTTTATTCCCAAGTAAAAACCGATGCCACTATTGCTTGACACCAGACTGCCCGAGGCGGTTATTGTACCTAGAATCTTTGATTCAAAGATCATTTATGGATCCTATGGCTTTAACCCCTAAATCATATTTTATGTCTAAAAAACTATAGTAGTTTACTATAAATAGTATTCGCTATGAAATATAATATAAAAAATATTATTACTCTATAATTAATTCGGAATAATAATCATTAATTTAATTTTAAATTAAATTCAACCCATGTATTATTTGAAATATTTTTCATAATTATAAATATTATTTAGGTATGCGTTATGAGTTATGCTATTCAGATCAAAAACTAAAGACCAAATTAAGTCAAAACTTAGCTGGGTTTTTAAACCTACAATAAAATAGTATCAAATATATAGTTGCAAAGCACGTCATCTTAATAAAACTATTATAATATAAAATATTATTTAGAAATACTGTCTTTTATTTTTAAAGATACAATTTGCTGTGTTATAACTATTTTTCAACGATTGCGTTTTTCAATATAATTAAAAATATTCACAGAAGTCAGTCAACAGTTTTAAAATTAATTTAATATTTTAGTAATGATAAAAAAATGTATAATTTTATTGGAGATTAATGGGGAATCTGGTCACGGTATTTTTGGGTGTATTCACCAGTAGGGTCGTATTTCTTCTGCAATTTAGCCCATTCTTCGCTCTTGTTCTGAATTAGGAAACGGATGACTTTTTCTGCTCCGGCCTTTTGCTTCTCGCTGCAGCCGCTGCAGTTGTGTTGCAAAGCGTCAGGTAAAACTCCTGGAAATATTTTTATTAAATATCAAATATTGTACTAATGTTAATGAAAAATCACTAAAATAGGCAATTTTGGAGAAGAATTTATTTGTAAATTCCAGCATTATTTTTTTATCCGATTATATTAGATACATGCTATAATAACACGTTCTATCTGGCGCATTTTTCGATAGCCGTATGATCGACGCGTGTCTGATGTAATGTTCCATCACCTGGCGGCGCTTGTTCACGTTAGTATGTGTTGTTATCAGTTATTATTTGATTAATATATAATTTATACAAATCATTTAATATGTAACATTAAATTGAAATATATATTATTATATATATAACTTTATTTTAAAAATTCATTATACGATTATAAAAAAATATTTATAAAATTATAAATTTTTGTGCACCAGAGGTGTTTAACGTTGCCAATTATATAATCTTCGTAGTTTATTTTACAGAAGAATTAATATAAAAAATCCTATACTTTTTTTTAACTTCCCGTAGGATAAGTTATAGTAATCGCAAAAAATATTTACGTTTCAAAGGTTTCTGAATATTTTGGCATGCCTTAGAAAAAATGGATGTGTGTGTGTGCGGATACAAATTTTCGTCGACGATTCTCGGGAACACCGATCAAGCGATTTGAATAATACAAAAAACATTCAATTCGTATTGATAAGGAGACATGCTGATTAGTTTTTGATGAAGTCAGGTCCAGCCGTTCCGACGGTAACTCAGTTTTGAAGAGAACGGAGCGTCCGATTTTAATTATTTAAAAAACATTTTACTTGTATTGACAAGATGAACAACTAATAAAGATTTTGGGAAGGCAGGTCCAGCGGTTATGGACTCTCAATAAAAATAAGTTAAAGAAATGTCATTTGGCGGTTAAAAATGTTTATTGGACATATGTACATCAAATGATCAGATATTTTATAGAGATTTTAATAATGTGTACACATTTTGTGTAATTTTTTTTGGGTTCCGTACCAAGATTTTTAATTACGGTACGGGAAGTTCCAGCAATTTGCCTTAAGGCACGATGCCTTGCACCCTACTAGTTTCGGCATATATTTCAAACATATAATGAAACTGATTCAATATAGAAAATATACACCATATGCAGGGTAGAGCAGGGCATGAATGTCCGCTAGTAAAGAGGTTCACAATCAATATCTCAAAAACAAGTGATGTTAGATTTTTTTTAACAACACTACTTGAAAGTAGAGGTCAAAAGATTTGTAACCAGCCATCGCCTTAAATCAAGCAACGTCGCTATCAGAAGATAAACGGCCATGTGTGAAAATCTATACCAAAAGTTTTTCCTTTCATTGTTAGTTTTTTTGTTTTTGGGCACGAGGCCTTAATATAATTGTTAGGTATTCGTTATTTAGTTGTTTTATATTATGTATTGTTCTCTTTAAGTTAAATTCAACAGATGTTTCTGTATAATCTCTATAAAAGCTTGCATGTGGGTGGAATAAAAAAGACCAAGTGAAACTTCAGACTGGCAAAGGTGTAAATAATAAAAAATAGTAAATATAAAAACAAAATAAGTTAAAAGAGCAATTTTATAAGAGATAAAACAAATTAATAGTTATTCTAACTCTGCTGATGAATATTTCTAACAAAATATCAGATCAAGGTTATATACAGTGTTATCGTTGTAAGAAAAGTACCCATAAAATTCATATTTTGAATAGTTTGCATAATGTAGCTAATGTTTCGTAAAATCCTTTCATTTCGCATATTGGGTAAAAAGAAGGAGATGATAAATTTAAGAAAAATAGGAAAAAACATATTTCTATAATTAGGAATTAACTAAAATTTTACTAAACATAGTTTTATAGTGGATTCTTTGATACGTGTTATTTGTTGTAATGTAGCTCATTTGATTGAGACAGTATAATTACTGAAAGTAAAATTGAAATAAATAATTTAAATACATTATATTCTAAAAACAAAATTCTATAGAAATAAGAAGAAAACAAATAAATAATAATTTAAAGAATAATAGAAAATATAAAAGACTGGCGAAGCTCGTTTAAAAAAAATAAAATAAAATTTTCTGACAATGATTAATAATAACCCTAATAAATAAAATAATATTAACATACGTTTCAGTTCAGTTCCATCTGGAGTACATTTTCCTTCGTCGTTGAGACACTTCAAATAGTTGCCCAAAAGGCGATCACTTGCTAAGATTTCATCAAGGTTTACACCGTCGTACTTGGTGGTGTATTTGACTTCATCTGCAGATATGGCAACTGCCATGCACAAAAGTAGACCAGCCACGAACAGTTTCATGATTGTAGCTAAAATGAAAAAAAGAAAATAATAATAATATATTTTATTACTATTTGATATTGAATCTAATTAGTTTTAGTTAGTTCATTATATTAATGGCATAATATTTTTTGGACAACAATTATTTTGAATTTATCGCCAAAATTTTCACGTCACCATACATATTGTACGAAAGCCAAATTTTTAGGATTGATCATAGATAAACGTTAAAAGACCGAACTAAACTTAAAATAACCAACGTTTCACAAATAATTGATAATGCTTAAAAATAAAGTTCCTTTCATTCAAATTATTTTTCAACTATGAACGATACTTTAAAAAAAAATTGTTAAAAGAACTATATTTATAAAACAAATTACGTCATTAAAGGCATTAATTTACAACATTTTAATTAATTGTAAAAAATAAAGAAATAAACGGATTATATTGGTATGAAGCTATTTTCGTTACTAATATTGGTTATGACAGTTTAGTTTCCCAAATTCAGAAAAAGATAACAAAATAACTCTCAAATATTAACACATTAACACTGTATGAAAAATATATTACCAAAGTTTTATAAAATTTTATTACATGTCGTCACAACCAGATAATTTCACTTTCTGTTGCCTAAAAGATCACGAAGACTACTAAAATCAAATAAATCCCGAAAAGCGTATATTTTTTACAAAATTTGAAACTGAATACAAATTTAACATTCGACATAAAAAGATAAAAATATTTTATATAAATAAATATATATTACGATTAATTCATTTGCTTTGGTTACATACAATTAAAATTATTTATGAAATCAACTAGATTGAAACTTTCCAACGGGTGAAGCAATAAGGTGCGACACGTAGATTAAATCACGAATTTAATAGTATATTTCAATTTTACACAAATATATATATATATATATATATATATATATATATATATACAACGTGGACATACATTAGCTTGCATATATATTAAATATATTGTTATAACTTGCTAAGTTTGTATTTTGTCATAAAAATTGTTATTTTTATTAACTGAAACTTATTTTTTATATATGGAATTAAACATATATTTATATATATAATAAGTTTAAGTTACTAAAAATAATAATTTTTATGATAGAACACAAACGTAGCAAATTATAACAACAGTATGATAATATTGAAAAAAGTAGTAATAATCAAATTAAATTGATATGAAAAATTATAGTTAGTGATACTTGTTTGAATAAAGATTTAATAAAAAATAAAATGTTGAGGATATATTATTGATCGTCTCCGCAGATAAATGTCAAAATACAAGAAATTAATATGAAACGTTTGAAAGTGCAATAGAAACGATTTATAAAATCACCGAACAAAAGCAAAAAAGTATCAATTAAACAAAAAAAAACTGTTAAATAAAAAAATCTAAAGTACGACTCAGATATAAATTAAATAATTCACAGATTAATAACTAATTCGTAGCACAACACAAACGTAAAATACAATATAAAACACGGCAAGAAAAAATATTATATAAATGGAGTAATCCGTTATTGTAATTTTTGAAAAATATTAATAAAAACTAAAAGTAATTTCGTTAATCAAACAATGTATTTTCTCTCTACTAATTAACAAAACAGCAATAATAATTAAACAGTAAAATTAATTAACAAATTACCAATATGCAATGAGCTTTTATGAATGATGAGAGAGGATGCTAGAGAATCTAAATAAATAAGAAAATATCTAAATACTTAATTTTATTCATTTTTTTAATGTGATTTTATTCGTAATTACTGACCGAACAATATTTAATAACTTCAATTTTTAAAATAGTTTTAAAATAGTTTAATAGATTCACGTTTTGAAAATAAGTAGAAGTATAACTTAAATTTTATAATAAAAATAATATATTTGATTCAAAACTACATAAACAACTCACCAAATAAACTTGATATAAATCTAATAATAGAATAAATAAAATCTAATGCAGTGTCACCTACCGAATGTAATATGTGTCTGTATCGACAAGAAACTAATTAAGATCTCACTGATTTACCACCGGCACGCCTCTTATTTATATGGACAAAAATCCTGAAAATACCATTTACAGTTATGCTAATAAATTCATTTATTTAAGCAGCATGTATAAGAATATTTTTGTCTCTATCGTGAACCCATACCAAATATTTCAAAACCGGTGTACAAGAGAATTACGTCAGAACTACGGTAGAATTAAATAAAGTATAACCGACAGTATAACAGACGTTAAATGAAAAAGGACAGACAAGTTCATTCTTCGAATCTGATAATATTGATTGCATTTTAATCCTTGAGATTAATTAAATATTAAATAATATTATATCGGTAAGGCTACAGATCGTCTCAACTCAAGTCATCTTCAAGTTTGGATTATCAAATGCCACCTCTGCAAGGACGGGTTGTATTTTGCTGATAATTTTAGGGTTGGATTAAACCCAAATTAATAGTATGACCAAAATTCAATATTTAATAAATAAAAAACTGTTTTCGATTAGTATTTTATCAAAACCAATATAAATATTTAAATTATTGATAAGAATTACTGAAAACTTATTTGGACAATTTATATTGCAATAAAGTATGCATATATGTATGTGTGTTAATATTTTTTAATTATTCAATAACTGAAAGAATTCACTTTTTGTCTAGAATTTTTTTCATAGAAATTAAATCTAGTAGATAAAAAACGTTAATACATATAATGTATTCTGTTGAATTTTATATAGCCAAACAACAAAGCAGACTATTAAAATCAGAGTTGAAAATCTAATTTAAAACCTAATAATTAAATACATCATTTTTAGTCATTTTTGTTATTTTTTAATAGTTTAAAGTTAATTTGACGTTTTATCTCACTCATTATTCTTATTTACGGTTTTGTAATTTTGTTTAACATCGACTTAGTTGCTAGTTACATAGCTTATCGACTAGTTTTTAATTAAGTTACATTAATTAGATATTTATATTTTCACATTTTTTAAAAGATCAAAAATTAATAAAATGTAATATAAATAAATTTTAAAAGAATATGATAAAATTTTAAATAAAAAATATAATGTATTTAAAAAAGTAGCAATAATTAAAAGGAATTTAAGAGAGAAAGAAGAGGACTCTATATTGAATCAAAAATAATAATTAAATAATATTAATTTACGTAATTTTTTTTGTAAATTATAATGCAGATATAAAATAAACTAGTGGTGAATGGCATCGTGCTTTAAGGCAAATTGTTGGAACTTCCTGTACCGTAATGAAATATTCGAGGAATTTTAAACTGTTTTTTTTTTAACAAAAAGATTTTTATAAATACTGTAACTTTCATTATTCGTATTTTATAAACAAAATATAAGAACTTATAAATTGGACGACAACGTTTACATATGTGCATCATATGAAAAGTAAATAAACAAAACATAATTAAGCTAAGTAAAAATGAAGAACCTCATCCCATATTTTTCAAATTATTTATTTTAGGTATATAAGTGAGCTCGCGATTTTTCGATAGAATTAAAAGTAAAATCCGAATCATTCACGACATTCAAATTTTTTTCGGAAATTAAAATAAAATTGAAATGTTGAAATAAAAAAAATCGAAAACTGATAGTTTCTTCAGACTTTTAACAGAAACAAATCCGTTTTCTCAAAAACTGTAATTTTTAGCACTTTCTGATCTGTATCTCCCACATGGGTGGGCCTTTCTTTGCCAAAAAACAACCAGCACGTCTTCCAATTAATAGAAATCTAGATAGATTCCAATTAATAGAAATAGAATAATTCTTATCGTATGTCCCGTTCTCTACGTATCTCCAAAACGATTGGACCTGTCTTTGCCAAAAAACTAATCAGGACATCGCCCCGTAAATAATAATTGAATGTATTTTATATCATTTAAATCGGTTAAGCAGTGCTACCGAAAACGTGCATGAATAATTGTATTCACACATACATACCTACACACAAATACATACATACATTTTTTCTAAGGTAAGCCAAATTGTTCAAAAACCTCTGAAACGTAATGATGTGCAAAACTTTTCATTTTCGATTTTTAGACTATTACTATAAGTTACTCTACGCGAAGTTTATAAAGTATATATATATATATATATATATATATATATATATATATATATATATATATATAAGATTATTAATTAGTTCAGTAGCTGTATTGTTATTTATTATATATTTATTTATTTATACAATTCTTCTATATTAAAAAAAATCTTATTAATCTTATTTTCTGCAAAAATGGATGGACTGACTCCAACTACTATAAAATACAATTCTCATTTCATCTGGGGGTGGCGAAAAAGATCATTGTCTACGATCATGGAAAAGCATCAATAAAAGAAAAGTTACAGTAGAGATTTTTTTGAATATCCTTTAGTGTTTTGCAGATATTTATTGAAATTCGATAATATGCAAGAATAATAAATTTTCAACTAGCTGTCTTTCCATACAACATCACAATGCCCAAATGACTTTGAAATATTCCAAACTGAATGACGAGCACTTAGGCTATAGTCGACACGACAAGTTTTTTATTTAACTTCTTGTTGTATTAATTTTTTATCGATAACGATGATTCCAATGACTTCTTTCAATAACTGGATATTGAAATTAAAACATATTATGTCTTAATATACGTCGGAATATAAAAAATACATATATTTTTATTAACATGATCATAAAATTATTAGTGTTCATATAGATATCAAATCATCTCAATTTCTTTATGTTTGATTTTTCAATTTCTGAATCTTAAGTGAAGAACAATAAGTTAGTAAATATCGCAGTGAACAATTAATATGAATATGCAAATCCAAAACAATTTATTCAAGTTGCCAATATTATTCTTTTATATTAACATATCCTTCTAAAAATTATCACGACTCGGTTGCAAAACATTCTCTATGCTTAAAGTAATACGAAATCGATAAACAGTTTGATCAAATTTTCCATTATGCTAATGAATTGTAAAAAATACTTTTGCTATAATAAAAACATTTCAAGCGCAAAGATGACTAAAAATTGTATCATGAATAAGAATCAATAAAGCAAAATTAGATATGCATGCTTTTATACTGTTAATTATTGGTGTGACGTGAGATGTGACGTCATACTGTTTCAAATTTACCGAAAACTAAATTATTCAAAAAAACTTTGCAAAACTTTGAAAAAATAGAGGATTTGAAGAAATTAGAGATTTTTGAAAAAAATTGACTTTTTTTTTTATATTTCGATTTATTTCGAAAATTTGAAATTTCGAAATATCAAAGCGCGTGAGCGCCGCGTAGCCGTCTAACGTGTAAACATTGGTTCGAAACTCATATAAATGTACACAAAATTTGTACTTATTATAATAATCTTTATAAAATATATGATTCATTTAGTCTAATGTTCATTTTTGACCGCCAAATGGCATTATTTTTTACTTTTTCTATTGGATCTCCAGAGCTCGACCTGCCTTTACAAAAATTGTACCAGCTGTTCATTCAACACAAGTAAAATGTTTTTTGAATTATTCAAATCGGACGCTCCGTTATTCCAAAAATTAAATTACTATTTTTGGCACGTTTTGCCCCGTATTTCCGAAACGGCTAGAACTGCCTTTGCCAAAAATTAATCAGCTTTACCTTATTAGTAGGAATCGAATGTTTTTTGAATTATTCAAATCGGTTGATTCGTATTCGCGAAATCGTCGACGAAAATTTGTATCCGCACACACACACACACACATACATCCATTTTTTTTAAGGTATACCAAAATTTTCAGAAACTTCTGAAACTTAAAGATATATAAAATGTTTCATTTTCGTTTTTTTTTGCATTTACTATAACTTACCCTACGGAAAGTTAATAAATCATAAATACATAAAAAAATATAAAAATTGATGATAATTCAAGTGTTAAATTTTTAAAATTGATAATTGCACAGAAATATTTTTTGCAATCATATTTTTATTAGCTTCTATTTCGAGCGAATCATAATGGAAAAATATCAAATTAGCTGTTGTTAAAATATATTTTGTATGAAAATTTAAATGCACGTATAATTACTAAAATACTTAATTATATTAAATAAACTTGTACAAAACGTTTTCGATATTGGGACAAAGATATATATGATGTAACGTCCGTCTCACATAATATTTTGAAAACCTTGGAAGTAATTGAAATCCAAAATAAACATTCTGAAATTGAATGACGAAGATAATTTTAATAAACGATAGTTTGCTAAGTGCTCACGTACAAATTGAATAATATATATATATATATATATATATATATATATATATAAATAATATATTAGTCCCTTGTGCAGCTACCGATTGGTTCATTCAGTATTTCTTCTAATGTGTTTTAAAACCATAATCACAATATTGTTTAATAAAAATAAAACTATCACAGTTATAATAATTATTAATGTTTTATTTTTTGCAGTTGGAATTCCTGAATACATCGTAGTGTTTGGAAATGTGAAGATCTAGTTATGTAATTAGTCAATTGCAGAAAAAAAGACTTCTTAAATAATTAATCCCTAAAATTCAAAATGCGATGTTTTAAATTCATATTTTTTATAAACATCGACGGATGAACAACAGTTTAGCGTAAATCGTATGTCTGAAAACGGGTTATTATTATTGTCAAATAACAAAAAAAAACATTTCTTAAAAACAGATACTGAAAAAATAGGAATTTCCCACAACGGAATTACAAATAGTTTTTTGTGAGAAGAAGAAGTATCCGTAAATAAATAAATTTATGCCAGTATAGATTACGACATGGTCAAGACGAGTGAGTCCAGTTAATATTTGATTGGGTTTTGAGAAGCATTAGTTAATATTATTTGAAACAAAGAATAATTTTATAATCTTCAAAAAACATATTTTTAAGATTTTTACCCGTGTACGGTGTTGTCTCTAAATAGGAAATTCTAAACCAAAGTAATTAAATATACATACATAAATATATAAACTTTGGTTGGAGTGCGGACTATCTTAAAGTTACTATTAACAGC